GAGAGAGAGAGAGAGAGAGAGAGAGAGAGAGAGAGAGAGAGAGAGAGAGAGAGAGAGAGAGGAGGGTGGAAGCAAGGAACCAGAGGGAGGGAGCACGGCGGAAAAGGATGGAGGAGGTTTGAACGGGGAACTCTTGCCCTGTCCTCTTCCCAGTAGGGGGTTGTCGGATAAAGGCATGCTGTCATCGGCATGCATTTCAGGGTGCTAGGGGATGGTGGCACTTGTCGTTGGGTAGGAGATTTAGAAAGTCGGACAACGAAAAGTTGGGCAGTTGTTGAGGAAAGTAAAGTGAATAGATCATCTCTCTTGCTCGACTTTGATAGTTTGTGACTTGTTCTACTTCGACTCTTTGTGAAGTTCTGAATGAAGGAAGCCTCTGCCTTAAGACGAAAGGCAACCCATATGGCTGGCTGGCTGGCTGGCTGGCTGGCTCTTTAGGGTGTCATGTCTCACATGGTGAGATGATGCTCTGTGCTGTTCTCGATCGCTAGTGGGCAATTCCGTACTGCATGCATTTGGCGGAGGATGAGCAGAACAGAGGGGGAGTGATGACAGAAATGAGTTGAGTGTGATTCTTCCAAGCTCTTGAATGTTCGAAAAGGATGTTCAGCTGTGCGTGAGAGCCCGCGTGCCTGCAAGGGTTGCCCATCTGCGGCAGATGCTGTTCCTTACCCTCTGTCTTGTGACCGCTAACATGGAGCGACGAGCGACGGCAAGTTTCTGTGCAATGTGTTTGCAAGTTTTTGATTGGGTATCTTCCTTTTGTTCAAATTTGTTGATGTTCAGAATTACTTAAATTGTTTGTTGAAGATGCTATTCTCTTGTTCGTTGAAGATGGGATTCTCATTGTTTAATGATGACAATTTAGTAGTACATGGGAAATTTGGGCCCTAAAGTGCAGGGCCTTTGTATTCGACTGGCCGCTGACGAAAAAAGAGAAGATGGCCCTTGGATGGCCATGTTTGACAATGAATTTTTAGCTGTTTTTTGTTTGTTTGTTTCAAGGCTGGGCCGGCAACCGGCCGGATCACCTGCCGCGGTCCAACCGGCGCCGGACCGGTCCAGGGGGGGTGAGCCGGCAAAACCGGATGCCCCAAAAAAATGCCCAGAATTTTTTTTTATTTTTTTTTGATTGCGGCATCCAACTGCGCTTGTTGAGATCTGTCGGAATCCGCATAAAAACTTGAAAGTCAGGAATTGGGGGGGTTTATGGTGATGATCAAGGGGGAGCAGGACTCTCTCTCTCTCTCTCTCTCCCTCCCTCTCTCTCTCTCTCTCTCCCTCCCTCTCTCTCTCTCTCTCTCCCTCCCTCTCTCTCTCTCCCTCTCTCTCTCTGTCTCTCTCTCTCTCTCTCCCCTGTCTCTTATACACACCCTGAACCATCCAGATGGACGGTTCAGCCCCAACCGGCGGGCGGCAGCCTCAAGAGCGCCACCAGGCCCAAACGGTAATGTCGTTTGGGCCTGCCCGTCGGGTCTGGTCCAAGGTGAGGCCTTTATGGCCTGTAGTACCCCAAGGTCGGG